CAGCAACATCACTGTTATCAATAGTGTTACTGTTACTTACAACGCCATCAACAGCTATGTCAGTGACAGTAACATCACTGTTATCAATAATGTTAGTGTTACTTACAACGCCATCAACATCTATGTCAGTGACAGCAACATCACTGTTATCAATAGTGTTACTCTTACTTACAACGCCATCAACAGCTATGTCAGTGACAGCAACATCACTGTTATCAATAGTGTTACTCTTACTTACAACGCCATCAACAGCTATGTCAGTGACAGTAACATCACTGTTATAAATAGTGTTAGTGTTACTCACAACACCATCAACATCTATGTCAGTGACAGTGAGATCACTGTTGTCGATAGTGTTACTGTTACTTACAACACCATGGGCATTGTCCTTTCCAGATCTTTCATTTAATTCAGTAGTATTTGCAAAGCAGTCGTCACTAGTAGCACTATTTTTATAGCACATGTTGAAGTGTTCAAGTAACTTGCCAAATTTCCTGTATCACCTGTATCAGTATTGTTACAGATGTTATATGATTCATTGTTTTTATTACTAGGTATAGAGTTAGTGCTCCAAGATCCACCGTTATTGCTATTAACATAATCACTTTGAGATAAATCATTGGGAATTGTTAATGATGTGGTTGTCATTACAGCGTGGTTGTTCGGGTCACAATCACGATTCTTAGGAACATAGTCACTGTTGCTTTCAGAGATGTTCAGGGAGGTACTGTCAGGATTGTATGTTACATGTCCTTTGAGATCGTCACATGTACTATTCTCTCGACCACCATGTCGGAAATCGAATCAGGGTCTTTGGCGGGGCGAGCGAACGCTTTAACTACTAGGCTCCCACGATTTGACAACCCAAAGACCCATCCCGAGATCCCTAGATCATAGCTCAAATTATCCCTTGTTACCGGAATCTACCCAGTGTTTTAACAGTGTGCTGATGTCTGCCGACATTGGAATTAATCCTGGTCCGGGTAACACTGTGGGAGAAATAAGAATTGATTTCCAGTAACCCATGCTTGTCTTAAGAGGCGACTAACGGGATCGGGGCGCGGTGGGCGAGCTGTCTAAGGCACCAGGCTAGTAATCCAGCGAGCTTGGATTCCGTGATCGGCCCACCCTGTGACCGGGTGTAAAACCCTTGGAGTCAACTTTGTGTGCAGACAGTGTTGTCACAAGATCCCCTAGTGTACAGTACACACACTTAAAAGAACCCACGAATCCGTTGGTAGATGACCAGATGGTGGCCACATGAATACGTGCAAACACCTAGTTGCGGGTACAGCAACGTGCAGTAAACTTGGACAAAGTACTGTGACTATGCGTCCCAGTTAACCCAGATGTGAATGGGTACCTCGTAAGGATGGAAAAGCCACATGAACTTGGTGCGCCTAGGGAGTTGAGATTGAAATTACGATGTGCCGTTGTGATGGATATCCAACGATCGAGGGAAAACAAAGCACCTTTGAGCAGTTGTACTGGATATCGGCGCTATACAAATATTTGTATGTATGTATCGGGTGGTCAGGCTCGCTGACTGTGTTGACACATGTCATTGTATCCCAATAGCGTAGATCGATGCTCATGCTGTTGATCCCCGGATTGCCTGGTGCTGACTCGATTATTTACAGACCGCCGCCATATAGCTGGAATATTGCTGAGTGCGGCGTAGAACTAAACTAACTCACTCACTCATGAGAGCATAGATCAGTTACAGGTTATCTCTATTGTGACATCCAAGATGACAACATGGACACTATCTCCGGGATCAGGAAAACAATATCTCCCCAGATTACGCCAAGCGAGAATTTGATCTGAGGCTTTAAAAGATTTCTTAACTAGGATTCGGTTTCAAACACCCGAAACCTGAAATAATCTCAGCTAAATCCCCCGACTGTTGTGTCCCTTCCACTAATGACCCCACCTTGCATTCATAGCAGCATGAGAGTTTCCAATGATGGGTATAAGACTACTGGGGACTATTTATTGGCGTGTACCCAATTGGATCCATGTTATCAATTCGTGTCGCAGCATACTTCATTCATCGCTGAAGAAAACTGTGTCACCTGTGGGTCAGTATACGGTCACCTGCTTAATTGACACATGATAGTGTGTGAGTGAGTTTAGTTTTACGCCGCTTTTAGCAATATGACAGCAAAATCACGGCGGGGGACACCAAAACAGGGCTTCACACATTGTACCCATATGGAGAATCGAACCCAATCTTCGACGTTACGAGGGAACGCTTTATTTACTAAGCTACGCCACCGCCCCGAACTATGTGATTATAATTTTCTGCTTGTTTGTAAGGCTTATGTTGCATTACAGGACGTTCATTATCCCAAAATACACCAGTTGTTAGGAACTTCATAATAACGTCATAACTGATTCATAATGATTTCATATAATATTTAGGGCTCATTTAAACACCGAGACAGCTGTGAGAAAAATACATGATAAAAATCTTTGCCATTTGAACTATTTTAACAAAACAAAAAACCCTATGATTTGAATTAAGCTATTTTCAATGCCGTGGTGTTGTTGCTGAACTCAACATATTTGTTGGATGGTTTATTTGTTTGTTTGAATGTTTGACTGTTTGTTGTGTAATTCAACAATATTCCAGCTATATGCTGGCGGTATGTAAATAATTATTAGTGTTTTGACCAGACAATCCAGTGATCAACAGCATGAGCATCGGTCTACGCAAATGGGATACGATGACATTTTGTCAGCGATCTTGACCACCCGATCCCGTTAGGCGCCTCTTACTACAAGCACGAGTTGCTGAAGACCAATTCTAATCCGGTTCTTTACGGGACAAAATATTAAAGTCTAATCATAACAAAATGTCATATCATTTATTGGCATCATGAGTTTCGACGAAGCCAACGTGTGTGCACGCGCAGGAAACGCACTTGTGCTAAGCACATGCGGTGGCCTAATGGTCTAAGCGTTCATTCGTCACGCCGAAGGCCTGGGTTCCATTTCCTACATGTATACACGTGGAAATGTGTGAAGCCCATTTTTGGTGTTCCCCGCCGTGATATTGCGAATATTTCTAAAAGCCCGTAAAGCTATAAACGCACTCACTAAGCACATGCTTAAATTTCCTTAGTGAGTGGACAAAATTGTGGACTGTGCGTACAATCGATGTGGGACTTCAATATCCCAAATTATCTAAATATATATTTGGCATATAAACTAGTGCAATCTCTCAACTGTGAGAGTGGACTATGGGAGTGTATAGCAATATATATATAAATCTCCTCCTGTTAGCCCCTCATATCTCCATACAATAACATGAATTTTATTTCAACACCTACCATTAAAAGCCACCTCTATCTACATGCATTTAGCCTTCAAGTAGACTCTCTTAGAAGACGCTGACCCTAAACCGTAGCCGGCGAAGAGGTGAGTACTACAGACAAGTGGGTAGGACCACAACCTCTGATATTAAGCGTATTCACCCCGGTACAATAAAAACAGGGTCAAAGTAGTCATTTGATGTCTACAACACAAAGACAAATTGCTTTGTGAGTTGCTCGAGCAGCACAATGAATGATATCTCACGTCGTTTCTGACGGTGCATAAAACTGAGATAATGTTGGCTTTGGGCCAACTGGGTCAAGCGAATTTCCGCATAATGTAGTGTTCATGCATGGCGTTAAAATTGTTTGAACTAAGAGATTTTGCCTACGAAGCTCTTTTTGTAAAAAAAAGATCAAGCCTCTGTGGCCTATTCCTAGCCAAATTATTATTATAATAGGATATTTATATAGCGCACATATCCACGCAACAATTCATGATCAAGGCGCCACCATCACGTGGGGTGTTTGGAGAAACGTTTTTGAACTATCACAAAGTTTATTAAATTTAATGTCAATAAGGTGACACAATATAAATGAATTCAAGTTCTTGTCATATGCTTTTACAGGCGAAGCCAGTGTTTCTTGATTTTAATCTGGAACATTTAGCACTTGTGACAATCGTTTTCTTCCTCTACATACAAACCAAGGAGCGATCATCAGCATCTATTGCTGATGATCTATTGCTGAGAGAGAGAGAGAGAGAGAGAGAGAGAGAGAGAGAGAGAGAAGAGAGAGAGAGAGAGAGACAGAGAGAAGAGAGAGAGAGAGAGAGACAGAAGTAGCCGATTCGATCACTTTGAGTTAGAGTTATCCGCCCCTCCTACCTCTTAAACAAGCATGGAAGCAAACCAGGAGTTTGAAATTGCGAATAACAATAAGGCTTTGTTTCAACTGTTTACTTGGTCTGGACTTTAAAAAAGTTAAAAAAAGAGACTGAAACTACTTCCACTTCTTTCTTTTTTTTCAAATAAACTATATATTTATTTGGGAAATCACCTGAAATGAGAAAGGAGAGAATAACCCATCAAAAGTTTAGAATCACTTAAAACACTCACTATATATATATATGGTTACATCGAAGATTGATTTCTCCACTAACTTGGGGGAACCAACTGCAAACCTTATGCAGATGAATTCCACGAAGATCATGCATCAAATTGCTGAAAAGCAAGTACACATATCGTGCATGTGAACAGCTGGTGTAAAGTATTCGCCAATTTTCACTGAGCTTCATCATTTATTAAACTCATGACAATAATCTTTTCAACGTTACGAATTTGTTTTACAATACATCAGTTCATGTGCAAACAGTACCTTTCAACAGTATGGAATATTTTGCAAAATTTAGTTTAGAACAGTTGCCTGAAGTAAGTGGCTGTATTTACACTAGTGAGTTTACACTTTTGATGGGAAGTACATAGTAAATTGATGATGTATAGTAAATTAGTACAAAATAGTATTGCAATCGTTGGTTTCAATAGACTGTCGCTATCGCAATAGTTGTTTCCCCCTCAATAGTCACCCCTACTAGATTTATGTACACAAGAAGTGACACCAACCCCCACTCCGCACCCCTCAACCACCACCATGCATGTCATGCACAAAAATGGCTATCACCCTAGTACGTGTGTACAAAATTGATGACTACCCCTACCTCCCCAGAACAAAATGGGTGACACCCCGAACCCCCACCCCTAAAAATAATCATCATCCCCTTAGCCATAAATTATGAACGGTCCCTTAAAGCGTCCGATCGGTACGCTAAAGGCCCGGGTTCGATTCCCTACATGGGTACTAAATGTGAAGCCCATGTCTGGTGTCCCCCGCCGTGATAGTGCTGGAATATTGCTAAAAGCGGCGTAAATCCATACTCACACATACTTTGTTTGTGTATCTTTGTTGACTCAAAGCTAGTATTCGTGTTTGTCAATGAGAATAGTTTGCCTTACGTCTTCCCAAACAAGGATCATCCATCCAATAAACATTGCTGTAATCCAAGTAGCTGTTTGTTTATCGATCAGTGTTGACTCAAAGCTAGTGTTCATGTTTGTCAAACCTGATCATCCGGATGATGGCAGGAGGTATATGAGAACAAGAAACAGGAGACGTTTGATATCGTCAAGGAGGTCCATCACGGTCAAGCATGTCCTGTTTGACTATATTGAGTTTTCTATTACAAAGGATAAATATATATCATCGTAAAAACTGTTGAGTTTTTTTGATAATGTTAAAATGTCATTTTATTATCGAATTTTAAAAACAAATAGAACTGATTGATGAATTTCATATGTTTTATAGATAGATGTATTTTTATAATTGGTGGTTTAAATTATGAAATTCAGATTGTTAGTAACTGTACCTTCGAAGGGGTTAAATATTGTTAAATTATTGTCCTCCTGAGAAGATAAGTCCCGAAACATTTAAGTAAATTTAAACATACCACCTTTAACCGTTATCTTAATCTATGGCTAGATTGTTTACACTTGCTAACAGCTGAAGAGATTGTGTAAATCCAGCTAGAGTCCATGCAGGAAGCAAAGGTACTGTAAGTCCCCATGGGCTCTAGTATGGTGGTCTACCTTCAGTTGCTGGCGATCTATAGCATGTTTATATCTTGTACTGTCTTCAAAAGTTAAAAATGTTCTAAATTCACAAACTAGTGTTATATTCATATCTCTGATGTTCTAGTTGAGTTTACCGTCCTTCGTCGACAGGTGTTTTATAATTTAACTAGTCTATGTTTATCGTAATTTATAACTTGATTTAGTCACAATATGGCAGACACATTGCCGGTGTGACTGTAAATCTTTAGTCGCTCACTCACTCACCCAAGGAGGTCCGAGCAGTCTCAGGGATCCTACACGCCAGCACGCGTTGATAAAAAAAACTGAAATAGTTAAAAAGTAGGGAGTAAACAAAAAATATGTAACGTCGGAATATACGGCAATATCGCATTACTATAGTACAAGTTCAATTGAGACATTGTTATTGTTACAAATGATGCAGTTTCCAAAAAGATTAAAGAATCTGATATTTAATTTGCGAAACATTACAACCGGGAAGCTGGCACTATGACATCATGCAACAGTCGAATGAAAGCAAAGATATCTGCAAAGATATACAAAATTAAATTGACTGGATACATGTTTCAGTGATAACGTGTGCATTCCTAAAACCAGTCACGTTTCCAAATATTTTGGTTTTACTGGCATGCAAACGGCATGAACTAAGTATGGATCTCTAGTTGCTAACATACATAATTTGACATAGTTGTGGACTTCATTGTTATTCCATCCTTATCCTTGAGATCCAGAAATCTTGTCATATGTTTGCCGATTGCCGATTCAGAGACGTTGGTGTAGTGTTGGGAATGTTATATGTGTAAAAATGAGAGATGTAATCAATTCTGTATTCAAGTATGAAGATCATACACCATTTGATATGAAGTTATAAAGTATTGAACGGTTTCATTACCTTTCAGGGTATTCGTCATATGAGCGAAATATTCTCACGCACGACGATAAACCCAATTTCACCTCACCTCACCTTTAAGGGTATGAGCAAACCGTAAAGGTCAAGGTAGTTGGCTCTATTGCTCACGGGGCACCTGCCCCACCCATTTACTGCCAAGGCCATCCAGATCCATCGCATTGTATCGTAGGGCGAACGAGAACACACAACTCAACAGGTGAGATGAAATTCATTACGAGGTAATGAGGTTAATTCATTGACACGTGCTTAGGATATAACGGAGTGAGTGAGTTGTGTTTTACGACGCTTTTAGCAATATTCCAGCAATATCACGGCTGGGGTCACCATAAATGGGCTTCACACATTGTACCCATGTGAAGAATCGAACCCGGGGACTTCGGCGTGACGAGCGAACGCTTTAACCATTAGGCTACCCCACCACCCCGGATATAGTCGGAATCGTATAAGGGACTCATATCTTCATTTGCGCTTGACCCTTTGGCGTTGTGTCATCATGGTCTACACTGTACTAGTTCAAATGGTGAAAATGGGCAAGATGTACCTATAATTAAAAGCCATCTTAAGAACATTTTAACGTAATGCATCGACAACATTTAATCGTACAACACAAAGGTTTCACATACAGCTAGGAATCAGTATAAATATAAGCTCTACCTATAATTACAAGCCATCTTAAAACACATACCCGCGCATATGCTAACGTAATACATGAAATCAACATTTATTCATAAAACAACTTTTTTTATACAGCCATGAATGCAAAATATCAATTTTACTAATGGAGGAGGCAGCTGTACACCTTGGACAAGGTCGTATCTCATTTGATATTCTCTCCTCACCAGTCCTATCTAAATAATAGCGAGCTAGACACCATAGATATGCGCGATGGATCGAAGACATATTTCTCCTGGAAGGGATCATACAAGGTAACGTACCCAGCCCGTCGCATCTTTGGACTGTCCGCCTAGGAGAGGAGTGATCAACGAAATAAAAGACAATTTTCTGTAAAGAAAACGTCATCATCATTGTCAATAGGGACCATAAGTAGGTCACGTCACTTCGCGATACCTTAGTACTTCCGGTGACAAACAACGTTTCATACTTTTTCTCATGGTTGTCAGTTGACAGTAAGGAACCGATAATCCTTTCAGGAATAACGCATTCCCGTTCTAACCATCCCCACATTATTTGGTGGTTGCGCAATTTGGAACCAGGACAGCTGGTTCTTTAATATGCGCTTGTCAATCTGGTGCGGAAGTGAGCTGGGCCCTGTCTCGCATATCGCAAGTTTGCGTGCGCAAAGGGAGCAGTGAAACAGTTAAGTATACCGGAAGTAGCGCCTCGCGAGAATTACAGGCCCTATAGATGTGCATGCTGTCAGCATAAAGCATATGTTTTAAGCGTGACCACATGGCATCGTCGTATGTTTATTGCTGCCATTTTGCTTCAAGTATTTATTCTTATGATCCACAGGGAATGACAGTTAGTCCTTTACATTGTACGATTGAGCCAGTAAAATTCACCTGGAGGAGACTATATCAGCCGTACCGTTTACGTAAGCTCCGCCCTCGTTGGTTGCTGTAAAAACATTGTATTGATTTTGTCAGAAGCAGGGTATTAAATGGGGGCGTCCCGCCAGGCCGACATTTGAACCAAATGGACATGCAGATAGGTACGCCAGGCCGACTTGCCGGTGTCCTTTGATGTAATTAACGCCAATTATCATTGTTTAACAATACGGGGTGGTCAACTCATAACGAGTTCACCACTTACTGAATATTAAATTGATTTATCCTACAGACTCGTGTGCTCATGGGGGCCAACACATATATAAATGTTTAAGAGGACATCCAACAAATGAGGCAGGTGCTTGGTGACAGTTTGATGAAAATGGAAATTTGAAACTGGTCACTGATCATCCTGATTTATTTAAATGATGTGCGACGACTTCATTAAAGGAATGTAGATATCACAAAAAATGTTTGCAGTGACTAATTGTTGGTCCGAACATAATTACATTAAAATTATTTCCCCAAAACCTTTTATCAATACTTGCATTTCCAGTTTTACACCCGACTATTGTGCCAATAGCTCCTTTGTATTCTGAATTTAAGAAACAATGAGACCGAAACTAGGTCCTGCTGCATCCGCAGTGCAATAAAATGCACGTGCAAAAATGGTCTTAGGCGATTTCTGACAAATGTGATGCGATTTAAGGTTGACGTAAATAATACATTACTGAATAGAGCTGTGCACTGATTGTGGCATAGATCTGCACATTTAAAATTCCGGCGGGGGTATGGCAGCAAGATTACACGCATGTTCAGTTTGAGAAATATTTTAAGCAATATTTTAGTGTCAGTTTTGCACGTATCGACACCATTTAGAACTAGAAAACTAAATATAAATGTCTTCATTGACATGTATAGAATATGATATGTTTGATTTCAGAATACAAATTTGTATGGCATCGAACCTGACCACACGATCATTGTGACCAATGCTTATCACCATTCAGAGCTGATAAACAGTTGGCCTACCGTTCAGGTTTCCACCTTTGTTATTTTTTTTATTTTTGTTGTTCTTGTGTTCTTGCATGAACATACAGTAATATTCACTCAGGGATCGGGGTTAGTCTTGATCGTCAGCAACCACGCTTGTCGTTCACTCGATTGTCTGGTCGAGACTCGATTATTTACAGACCGCCGACATATAGCTGTATATTGCTGACTGCGGCGTTAAACAAAATTAACCAGTTCAAATACACATTCAGATATTTTTCAGTAAACAAATTTAACCAAGACAAAGACTTTTTGTCACATTTTCCCTAAATCTGTCTAGAGGTCACTAGACGCCACTAGACAGCTGTTGACAGACATTCCAACTTTTACACTTCCCATGATTGAAGAGTTCCGTGGTAACTGTAGTTATCGAGCGACGAATTGATGTCCCCCGCCGTGATATTGCTGTGATAGCCTACTGCTAAAAGCGGTGTTAAACTAAACTCACTCACACACTCACTATCATGGGTCAATGAAGCAGGTGAGCTTACACTGACCCATAGGTGACACAGTTTTCTGTCAAGAGGACACTAGAAACAAACAAACATACACTGACCCATAGGTGATACATAAGTTTTCTGTCAAAATATGAGGACACTAGAAACAAACAATTATCATATATGTTGTAAGTTTGGACCTCTGAATATGTATCCTAGCAACCATTCACCTGATAACCTTGTAAGCAA